GGTTTCAAACTGCTGACCTTGGAGTTAGCAGCCATTGCACAAGCACTGTACCACCAGGGCTCTGGCCATGCACCTAGCTAATTAGTAACCCAGTTACTATATCTAGATTTACTACCTCGGACTTCATATATTGAAAATCATACAAAACAAAACCAAGAAGCAAAAGCCAACAACAATGACTTAACAAAATAGAGAAAAGCAATTGACACGAAGCAGAAAATATTAAAAACTGACACAACTTCAAAATAAGGTCAAAAGGGAGATTAAGTGATAAAGTGTAATATTTTATTCTGACTACATCTGCCATAACAGAGTTTCCAATGCTAATAGCAAGGCTTGGTAGCAAGACTCTTCATATCGATGGACTATGGTCAGGGGGAATTCACCAGAGGCTTAACCCATTGGGGACCCTACAAATGGATTTTGGGCTTCCACTGTCATTCATAGCTTCTTGCAAACTTGGTGTTCAGAATATAAGCTCTGATGTATTTCCCTCCTCTGGATTTGGATTTTATATTTACAATCTTTGGATCACACAGACTGGTGTGCTTCTTCCAGCCAGACTTAGTTGATGCCTCACTTGGTTAGCTACTTGTTTGATGACAAGTCTGTAAGACCCCAGATGGTATTCTCTCAGAGTTCTTCACTATACTTTGCTATATGTAGCACCCATTTCTTCAGTGATCTCTTCATGAGGGTGCATGTCAAGAAGGGCATGCCATAAGAACTAATAGTTCTTACCTTAGGGCTACCATTAAGTACACACCCTAAAGTAATTTGCATATGTATGGTTTATATATGTCTCTGGTTAACTTTGGAGACATCATTTTTATGATAGAGAACATTATAAATCATCCTCATGGGACATAACGTAATTTTATTGGTAAAAAACTTAAGACCAAATTCACTGTCATTGGATTAATTCCGGCTCATAATGACCCTAGACAGGGTAGAACTTCCCTTGTGGGTTTCGAAGACTGTAACTCTTTACAGGAGTAGAAAGCCTCATCTTTCTCCTAAGGAGTGGCTGGTGGTTTTGAACTATTGATCTTGTGGTTAGCAGCCTCACATATAAATTTAGACAATGGTATAGCATTTAAAATACTGTTGAGAAAAGCAAATTTTACATGTATTGGTCAGCTTTTCAGATTGAAATATATGAATTGCTGATTTGTACAGATTAAAAGTTTAAGGGACTGGACACTGTTTACATGAACAATGAGGGTTGAGGATAGGGCAAAATATTCAATAACATTTACAAAGGCAGAACCATACCTGCCAGACTAAAACATTTTATAAAAAACTCAAAGAGCATAGAACGAGTAAATATATGGTAGTCCTGGGCCAAAGTTCATTGGGCACCTTCAAAGCAAGAGATGCAGAGTCCAATGACTACTAACTCTATAGCCCCGGGATAGTGGTTAGCTGCTGCTTCGCACACTAGTGCATTTCAGCCAGCCTTCTGCTAACAAAAAACCAAAATCAAACTCACTGCCATTGAGTTGATGCCAACCCCTAGCAGGACAGGTTATAACTGCCCCTGTGAGTCTCAGAGACTAACTCTTTTCTGGAGTAGAAAGCCTCGTCTTCCATGGAGCAGCTGGTGTTTCCAAACTGGTGACCTTGCAGTTAGCAGCCCAACTGGTAACCAGTATGCCACCAGGGCTCCAAATCTGCCACAGGTGAGTTCACAGTAAAGCCCGCTTGGCTTCATAGAGAATATGTTGAGAAAAGTAGCTTAACATTTTGTTGCTTTTGCATCATAAAGGTTATGCTTTTGTTGCAATACCTTTTTGATTACAGAGTAGAAGTATAAACACAAAGGAACACATATCTTAAATTATCTCAATCTGTTAACTTTTCATAACAGCTCTACTCAAGAAATTCTTCTCCCCTGCTCTCTCTCAGGGAACATGAGTGGTTTAAACAGGACCTTCCGAAATATCTCTTTCCTGAGGACCCGTCATATAGTTCAACCATGATCGACGACGAAGCCTTGAAAGAAGTGTGTGAGAAGTTTGAGTGCTCAGAAGATGAGGTGCTCAGCTGCCTCTATAACAGGAATCACCAGGACCCATTGGCAGTTGCTTATCACCTTATAATAGATAATAGGAGGATCATGAATGAAGCCAAAGATTTTTATTTGGCAACAAGCCCACCTGATTCTTTTTTGGACGATCACCATCTGACTCGGCCCCATCCTGAAAGAGTACCATTTTTGGTTGCTGAGACTCCAAGGGCTCGCCATACCCTTGATGAATTAAATCCACAGAAATCCAAACACCAAGGTGTAAGGAAAGCCAAATGGCATTTGGGAATTAGAAGTCAAAGTCGACCCAATGATATCATGGCAGAAGTTTGTAGAGCTATTAAGCAATTGGATTACGAATGGAAGGTAAGAAAGAAAATTCTGATTACAAAACCTATGTGGCAAAAGTGTACAAAATGTTTTCTAAAAATTGCTTTTTTTTGTCTACACTATGTGCTAGGTTGTAAACCCCTATTATCTGCGTGTTCGAAGGAAGAACCCTGTGACAAGCACGTACTCTAAAATGAGTCTACAGCTATACCAAGTGGACAGTAGAACGTACCTGCTGGATTTCCGCAGTATTGATGGTACGTGCATTGCACAGCTCAGTGCAGATGATGTGTCAGGCCTTGTTATGTGACTGGGCATAGTTCAGTCTTTGATTCCTCTGAAGCTTCTGGAATTCAATAGGAATGAGTATAAAAGAGGTGAATATTTTGCCTTGATGGTGTCAACATTTGTGAATCTTAATATTCCTGCAGTCTTATAGCATATTCGTTAAAGATGATCTTTTTGTACAATGCTTAAAGCCAGATGAAGTCTGATTTTAAAGCGATAGCTTTTTTCCACATTTGGTTTTTCTTTTTTGCCTTGGATCTTTAAAATGTTTTATTTAAAAATATATGCTGTTGTTTCCCTAAGTTTTACTTATTAAGGATTTTTTATGTCACACTTAATAAAATGTTCATTTCTCATATCAAAATTAGAGTAGTGTTAATTGCTTTTTAAGTGGAGTGGAAAAGGTAGCTCATAGGTCAGGGAGTTACTTGCCAACTTCAGATTCTTGCAGAGGACTGAGAGATGTTTTGTGCCATGTAGTGACTTGCAGTTATTTTCGCTCAACCTTTTCTTCCCAGCGAGACACTAGACACAGAATCAGAGAGATGTTTCTTTTATCAGCTTTGTGAGAATTGTCTGATTCCATTCCGTGAATGTCCTCCGAGTAACAGATTACTTTTATGTGGAATTGGCTGTATAAAGATTCCTGCCTGAGATTAAAGACATTTTATATCTTTAATTAGCTGAAAGAAAGTCTCGTTGTTAACCTTAAACCTAGAAGCAGTTAAGTGTGGTGGAGTTAGTCCCTACTGAAAAGGAGTCTGGGTGACAGAGCCGAACTCCCCTGTAGAGTGTGTAGGCTGAACTCTTTAAGGGAACCGCTCGTGGTCTTTCTCCAGTGGAGGTTCAGAGCATGAATTGAGCCCTGAACCGTTGAGCTGCTAGGGTGCTTTTCTTAAACCTACAAGACTGTATGTTTCTGTATTTTTTCTGTCATAATCATAGAAAAGCTGAAGGTCAGCTCACCAAACAACGTGAAGTTAAAGTAATGGCTTGCACTGTAATATAAAATCCTCAGTTATTAGTGTCTCGAATTGTTAAACAGGCATTGAATTGAACATTGTTTTAGTATCTACTTTTGATATGGTTTGAAAGTAGAGCTCTGATTAATTTAGTTTTCAAGAGTACTTCCTTCCCAACCATGTAGACTGGCTATTAAGAGTAGAAACCTGACATTTTGTTTTATTTTAACTGGGGGGAAATACCTTGTATGCAGTAGGTTCACTGTGAGTCATAATTGCTTCGATGGTAGTGCATTCAGTTTAGGTTTGATTAGGGTAGGCAAGAGTAGACTGCTGCACCTACTCTTGGTGCAAAATCATAACATGGTTTTAGATTTTCTATGTGTATACTCCCTTAAGAATAACTTGTATATATACATACATACATACGTATGCATATAAGAGGAGCCTTGGTGGTATAGTAGTTACGTGTTGGGCTGTGATCCGCATAGTTGGCAGTTCAAAACCACCAGCAGCTCCATGGGAGAGAGACTTGCTTTTTACTTCTGTAAACAGTTACAGTCTTGGACACCCACAAGGGGTCGCTATGAATCAGCATTGATTCAATGGCAGTGAGATCTATGAATGGATATTATGTTTAAATCTGAAATTATGTAACTTTCGAACCATGCGTGTGTATGTGTGTGTGTGTGTGTGTGTGTGTGTGTACATGTTCTCTTACAAAAAGAACCTTAAGTACAAGGTTAACCCAAGTTACATGAGTTAAGGGATGGTGGCACTTTTATTTATTTAAATTTATATGGAATTATTGCCAGAGAGCTCAATTTACTGCCATTTATTGATGCCGATTCATAGTGACCCTATACAGCAGGGTAGAACTGCCCCTGTGAGTTTCTGAAACTGTAACTCTTTATGGGAGTAGAAAGCCCCCCCTTTCTCTCCTGGAGTGGCTGATGGTTTCAAACCACTGATTTTGAAATTAGCAGCCCAACTCATAACCACTAAGCCACCAGGGCTCTTGTGGAATTATTAGATGAGATTTATGCATGAAATTTTTGTGTGGCATTTTTAGACTCCAAGATACTATGCAGTATCAGAAAGACACAGATTTGAAGTCTGTTAACTTGTATTCTCCAGAGCAGCAAAATCCTTGACATATGTAAGTTTCTATCAAGAAAATGGCTCACCACGGTTTTAGAAGTGGGTACATCCAGTCCAAGTTTCCTGGGTCAGAGCCCTTTTCATAGCTGGAGGCCTCTCCTGAGTCAAGTAGCCAATCAACCCCAAATCGGCAGAGCTACCAAAGTCATTCGGCCAGATGGCTCCTGGGACCAGCAGGACTTTGTCTCAGGCCCCAAGAATTGGAGGTCATTGAGCTAGATACAGGATTCAGACCCAGCAAAAAGCCAACAAGCATTTCTACAGCGTCCCTTTAAAGCAGTGGTTCTCAACCTTCATAATGCCGTGACTCTTTAATACAGTTCCTCGTGCTGTGGTGACCCCTCCCAACCGTAAAATCTTTTTCGTTGCTACTTCATAACTGTAATTTTGCTACTGTTATGAATTGGGTGACCCCGTGAAAGGGTCGTTCGACCCCTCAAAGGGGTCGTGACCCACAGGCTGAGAACCGCTGCTCTGAAGGAAGTCTGCCACACTCCTGAGAAAATGTACTTTCGGTTGCATCAGGGCTGTAATCTGAGTAAGGGAGTTACGTTCCACCCTGATTGGCTGCTTGTAGCAGATCCTAGGAGAGAGTTTACTACATTGTGTTACTGCCAAATCATTGGGAATTCCAATCCAAGCCAAGTTGACACAAACGCTAGCTTATCACACATATCAGTGCAGTTTAAAATATGGAATGGTCTTATTTTTCTTTTATTTGCATCAAATTTGCAACCTGTGGGTTAGCACCTGGGTGTACCAACTGAAAGGCCATTTGTTATTTTATTGTGTTCCCAACTTTAGATTTTCTTTGATTTGTTACTTGTTTGGTTGTTCATTGATTGCTACACTTTTATGAGATTTTAAATTAAATACAGAGGGTGGAAGAGTGAAAAACCCTGAGATATAAATTTGGAGACTTAGACTAGATCTGCTTCAGGGTTCTTTGGAAACCTTAAGGAAGCCCGGGCTTCTATTTAATTATTAATAAAATGAGGGGTTGGGTAAAATAAGCTCTAAGATTCCTTACACATTTTAAGTGCAGCCAATCTGTGACTCTAATTCAGAAGGATTGGTTTTTACTACTACAGAATGATGTTTATTAAGCCTCATATTTTTATTAGGATTTTTCATCTTGGATTGCAAAGGACTGATAACTAGGGACTATAACTCAAAAACTCCATGATCCAATCCAGTTGATTCTGACTTACAGCGAGACTGTGGGTCAGAATAGAACTGCCCCCTCTATGCCATGAGAGCTCCTTCCTGTGGACTGCACCCAGCCTTCATTAGCTATTACAAAATGGTGAGTCCTTTAACACAGGCCTGCTGCCTCTGTTTTAGAAGGCATTCAAAATAAACGTGCTCTGGAGAAATGGCCAATAGTCTTGCTTAAACAAAGCAAACCCAAGAATGGTTAAAAAGAAAATGTGGGTATGTGTGAAGGATTATAATAAATTGAAATTCTTTTTTTACCTGTAGATGAAATTACTGAAGCCAAATCAGGGACTGCTACTCCACAGAGGTCGGGATCAGTGAGCAACTATCGATCGTGCCAAAGGAATGATTCAGATGTTGAGGTTCAAGGGAAATCCTCCGAAGTGTCTCTTACCTCATCTGTAACCTCACTTGACTCTTCCCCTGGTGACTTAGCTCCAAGACCTGGAAGCCACACAATAGAGTTTTTTGAGATGTGTGCAAATCTAATTAAAATTCTTGCACAATAAACCTAAAACTTTGCTTATTTGTTTGATAGCAATAAGCATGCATAAATCACAGCCAAATGCTTCCATTTGTTATCAAGTTATACACGTTGTAACTGAGAATTGGCCATTTGGAATGCAACTTGCACAGGGATTGGAACATGATTACTAGTTAAAACCCTAATGTGCAAAGATGAATTAAGAAACTTTGTGGTTCACTGTTCTGTAGGCATTTAGTATAATATAATGAATTATGTGTCTCCCAGGCTCACTTGATTTTTGACTGTTTTATATTTAGTGTACACAGGGCTTTGTAGAAGATTAATTTACCACAAAGGCCTTCATATTATATGTTGATATGTTGCATATTTACTTCATAAATGAATTCAGAAATGCCTGCCTGGAATCCCCAGAAATCATTACAGGTAAATTTGTTTCCTGGGCTCACAACAGAAGTATGTTCAGCAGTAGTTACAGCTTCTTTGTTGTCCTGTTGATATTCTGTTAAAATAAGTTGTATCAAAGATATTAAACATACTTTAAAACATATATGCAGATATACAAGGCACTAAGTTTTATCTTCTAATAGGTCTCACTATATTCTGTACATAAATTGTTCTCTTTGTTACACGAGTTAAATTAAACGGCATATACTATAAATAAATCACGTCGCCTTCCATTTCATAAATTGCTCATCATGTCTGGCAGTACTGAATGTATGCGAGAATTTCTTGTTAATGTGATCATGTATCTTTTAAATTCGCTCATTGCTTAGCAATATCTCTTTCAAACTGTTTAAGTGCTCAGATAATTATTTTCCTCCCAAATTTTATTAATATTTTTGAAGCAAAAGTTAAAAGGCCATTAGAATGATCATGTGTGTATGAAACACTTTGAATCAACAATTGGTAACATTTTGTCATATATCCTTTTATAGATATGTATTTATATGTGTACGTATGCAGTATATTTGTTTCTCCCCCAGACCACTTGGATGTTGCAGACATAATTCTTAGCCCTAAATACTTCAAGCATCTTCTACAAGGAAGGACATTCTCCCGTAAAACCATAATGCCATATCAATAATTCCCTAATAGTCTATTCAAACTCAGATTTCCCCAGCTATCCTCCAGATTTCTTTTATCGGTAGTTATTTTGAACTAGGTTTATACATTGCATTTGGTTATGTCTCTTTAGTCAGATATGTCATTATTGATCTTTTTCCCCTAAAAAATGTAGATCAGTTAGTTCTTCTAAGCGGTCATATTTTCTGACCTTGCTTTAAATGAGTATTATAGGAAGTACCTAAATCGTAACCTTCCTTAAGGTCTGGTTTATATCTCCTTTTTCTCTTAGTAATACTCTTGTTACATAGTAAGTGTAAAATGAAGAGGGGCTAGCATTTCAGATAAATTGATATCATGTATATGCCAACAAAATACTGTTTATTACCTACATTTTTTTAATATATTAACACTTTAAAAAAAAGATTTCCTTTTCAGTATGTCTCATTGTCACAGAGCTTTCTTTTTGTCTACTCTGAGTCTTTATACTTGAAGGATTGATTTTGGTGACCGCAGTGAGCACTTGTGTGACTAGCAGTTAATGTATTCAAGTATCATGGAAGTTCTTTTACCATCAGTTCAACTCCAGGCAAGCCTTCTGGAGAGCCGACGTAAAGGTCAGAAGTCCTGCAGCTGTAGTTTTGGTCCCAGCACCTTAAAATGTGCACCAAATCCAAAACAAGAACAAAAAACCTTTTTAAACCAGGCCTACTCTATAAGAACCTGGAAGCTTTACAAATACTAGGCGTTGTATTTAAAAAATGTGTTCAAAACGGCATTTACTGCATAGCCCCTCTATTTACGGGATATTGATATTGGCTTAGTCATTATGTTCCTGATATTAAGAACAGAAGACTGTATTTTTAAAGTTACAGATTTGTATAAATGATTAAGGTGATGTCCGTTGTGATGTTGCTGTAAGCTGTTGGGAGGGAAGGAATAAAGGAGGACCTTCTAAAAATTGTTAATTTTGTAAAATCTGCTTATTTTATAAGTTATTGTGATTCTTTTAGTTACTGAGCTTTGTTTTGAAGATATTTTACTATTGCAGTTGTACAAATAGCATAATAGATGCACAGACTGTTTCAGTAAATTCTTTTTTTTTTTGATATGCCGAGATAATGAAATGACCGATTTTGGTTAAGTGTGTCAAGGTTGCATCAGAATTTTCACAGATTTGTTGTAGTTTCAAATTCGTACTAATATTGAATATGTAAGGGAGTCAATGCGAATGGTATTTAATCTTTTTTTAAATATCTTTTCAGCAATTTCTATTTTTGTGTGATTTTATGCAACCATATTTTTACTTTGTCTCGACAGGTGAAAGATGTATAAAGGTTTTTGCCAGAAATGTACTGTATTCATAGATTTCAATATAACAGATTTATTGATATGTAAAAATTTTGCCATTAAAGTAAATGATTTCTTGCTGAGGAGTAATTTTTCTACCAGTCTTGGGGGGTATGGGAGCTTAATATATCTAATTTAAAGTAATTTCACTGAAATAAATTCCATTTGCTTTAATTTTTTTCTTGAAATGCTTCTGTAGTTTCTCAGAGTTTTAGACGCTCTTAAGCCATGCACACTCCTCCCCTGCTCCCGTTCTCACCGTGTTAATGCTCTGAGCACGTGTACAAACAATGTGGTTGTGCTCTGGCTCGCCCCTTTGGAATGACTGAAAAGTTGTCTGGTTTTAATCTCTTGACTCCCCTTTCACAGACTCCTGTCTCCTCTTTCTTTCTTTCTTTCTTTCTTTCTTT